TGGAGCCACTTGGTTGCACCTTGTCCCTCGTAGTGTTTTCCGGCTTCGGAACCTCCAAATTCAAGTTTCATCCCCCCTGACAACTTTCTAATTATTGCATCACCTTTTCTGCCCATTTTTTTTCGGGTATCCATAGTACGATTTCTGTTTTTTCGATCGGAGCTTGCGAGGCTTGCCGATTCACCCCTAATAGAGGTTGCAGTTAACAGAATATTTATGTGATTCTAGAATCTTTCAGTATTACTACTTACCGAGCAATATCAACATTTGGTATATTATCAAAGGTTCTATCGATAATGGGACCCCAGACATTAACGTTGTACCATGCTTCGTAATGGTCTAGAGAGAAAGTATTTGGAGTACGTTCATATTGTCGTACTCTGCAAATGAAGCAAATAAAACCATCTTGCACTGAATAATCATTCATATGTTGATATAACTTTAGTACTATACTTACAGGCTGTGAACTGAATACTTAAGGGTATCTGCTTCAAAGTTGTATTCTTCGTGATCAATTTCTTTCATGATTTTTCTTATTTCTTCAATATTATTATATATATAAAATATGTTAACAATGAGATGATAACAATTTTCGACGTTTTAAACCAACCTTATTACAAAAACGTGCCAGATTTTCATAAAGTTTGGAGCTTAAGTCCGGATCTTCTTTGACATTCGTTTCCTCAATTTCTTGCAATTCCCGAGGAAAAAAGATTCCTTGGATTATTGGATCATCTATGTCTATAGTAAAGGAATGAATTAAGCTATTACATATTAAACAAGTTAGTTATTAGATTCGTAAGAAAAATTCTAAAAATATTAATCCAATGAACTTACTGTTCTGATGTAAAATCAGACATGCACTCATATAAAATATCCTCTACAACTCGACCTGTACAGCTGAGTTTCCATTTTAGATGATCCTTCATTTTACCATATTCTTTATCAAATGACTCTTTAATATCCGATTTAATTTCGTTTTCCTTTTTGTCGGAAAGTTCACAGTAATCAGGAATTTTTCTTCCACTTTTCGTTTTGCGCAGTTTTCTTTTTGTCTGCTTAGCCGGAACTTCATTATCCTAATGAAATACAGAAGATTAGTGCTGTTGATTTCAAGTTTCTAGTTAAAGAAGAAAAATGTTGATTGGTACCTCCTCTTCATTATTTCTTTTAGATAAATTGATACCGCTATTTATCGTTCCACCATAGATGTTCCCGCCACTCGCAATTTCTGTAAATGCTGGTTGGTTGAGAAGAATCTGCTTATTCATGCGTTCTTTATCACATTTTCGTGCCAGTTTATGATCAACTCGAGTACCCTTAAATAGAAAATTCGAGAAATTAGCAACAATCTCAACTAAAAAGCTTATCCCAGTAGAACATCAGGCAACCGACGGCCAAGTTGGTCAAGAGGGCCACCTGAGTCTAGTGGGTCCAGTGCCGGTTCGACGAGTGGGCTTTTCAGACGCTTGTCATCCCACAGGCCTTTCCACATCAGACAACCGAGTGAGTCGCAGGGCCACCTGTGCTCCAACACTGGTTTTGTGGCTCAGCGAATGTCTTTAAATAAAGACATGAGGCCTTGAATGACAAGGAAATAAGGAAACCAAGCGGGCTTCACCTCATCACGCCACTATTTTTCATCACAAGAGTCACAAAAGTTTTACTTGCCTTTTTATATCGGTCAAGAAGAGAGTCCGCTTTTTTCTTCCTCTTGCCTTTCTCACTGCTACTTATCATATCGAGGCACCGAAGGTAATCATCTATTTTCTTATCAAATGTCTCAGTACTACATTCATCTAAAAATCCTTTAATATTTCATTCATTAGAATCGCGTTGAAAGTATTTGTGTAATTTATCAGACATGACTAGGTGGTATATTAAACACGTCGCGATATTATTTTTTGAGGAAAATCATTGGGTATAAGTACGCGGCATGTGTCTAAACCGTGACAAAATGTCACGATCGGGATTTGCAATTACTTTATTTATCGGGTTTGTCATAATGTGATTGCTTCTTTAATATAAATATTTGCCACGAGTAAGTTAATTAAATTTAGTAATCGGTGTATCGCATGACTAGATATGCATGCGGATTCTATTATATTCGAATTCCTTCTATGGTGCATATCACATGATAGGTTAATTATAGCGGAGATGCCAAGTTACACAAGTTATTACTTTTTCCAAAATTTCAACGAAGCTCCCTCGCCAAAATAATTTTTTACAACAAATATGTATCTTGTTTATAAGTCAGTATAAGTCGGTATTAGAGCCTCAACCTTATCAGTTTGAATTAATGAACTGGAGAATCATATTGGTAATATAACCCACCTTCTCATGGCCAAGCCCACTCGAAGTCAAAAAAGTAGATAGCATATACTTCTTTGCTGATAATGAACAAACGAAGTGTAGTGAATTGGCGGGATATCAACAAATAGAAGATAATTTTGAGTTGGGTTTGAGAAATAGAGCGTTTCTATCTGAGCTAGATTCTAAAGAGCTGAAAGATGAAGAGCTAGAAAGATTAACAATGTACTCAACAGTAGATAGTCTCGATTCTATGCCCTTATATATCGAAACAACTTCTTTATCTTTTAAGCGTAGACTTAAATCAACAAAAAATGAATTGCATATCGATGAACAATTCTTGTAAAATCATCCGAATTGCAACTCCCATTTAAAGTTTTGAATTTATTCAATGAGACCCAATTCTCGAAGATGCTCTAGGATAACTATATATGGGTCTTCATAATACCAGACATACCTTAAAGCAATCCAGTTTTCTTCGCACAATTCTTTCTTGAGTTGATCCCGCTTTTGCTGTCGGACAAAATTATTCAGGTCCCCTCTATGAAAGAATTCGATATATTTTTCGTGTTGTATTCCTTGTACTTCTATAGCTAGACCATATTGTGGGTAATAAATATCAAGTTCTAATCCCTTAGGATGCTCTGGAATTTTCAAAAAATCTGGTTGGCGAATATGAGAAGGTAGTCCCAAATATTTAGAAACAATTTCACGACATAAATTTTCATATTTATTCCGACAAAATGGACACCAATTATTTTGATTTTTAATTTCACAAAGTGGTGCATACCATATATAACCTTTGGCACATTTCCATAGTAAATCTGAATAGTTATTAAAATACGAAGTAGAGAGACATTCACCATTTCTGTTACAAGCAATCTGTTTAATATCTTCAAGAGTAAATCGGGGTCTCCCTCCTACACAATGTGGGCACCATGTATTTTTATTTTTTACAACAGAGAAACAGGCAATCCATTCATGACCTTTGCTACAACGCCATAATAATGGCAAATTACCGTTGATGAATTTTTTGGAAAGACAATTTCCATTTCTATTATGTGCAATTTTTCTAGCATCTTCAAGAATATATCGGGGTCTCCCTCCTACACAATGTGGGTACCAGCTATTTTTATTTTTTATATTATTGAAACAAGCATTCCATTCACGCCCTATATTACAACGCCATAATAATGGCAAATTACCATTGATGAATTTTTCGGAAAGACAATTTCCATTTCTATCATGCGCAATTTTTCTAGCATCTTCAAGAGTACAAGGCTTTCTATGTGAACATTTCATACACCAATTTTTATTGTGTATAACATTATTATAAGTTGCTGTCCATTCATGACCTTTGGAACATCTCCACTGTAATAATTTCTTGGTAGCTGTACATTGAATAGAGAGACACAATCCGCCTTTATCTATAGTAATCTTTTTTGCAATTTCAAGATGAAAAGAATGCCGACCTGCACAAAAAGGGCACCAAGTTTTCTTATATTTTATTCTATCAAGTGGAGCATTCCATTCATGATCTTTAGAACATTTCCATCTTAATAGTATTTTACTGTTAATAAATTTATCTGAGAGACATGAACCACCACGAGCTTTGGCGATATTACAAGCATCATTTAAGGTTATTTTTAATCGCATTGAGAATTAGCAAAGTTTTATATAAATAAATTTCTATTTAAATTCTACACAAAAAATGAATCCAGTTTTAAGTATCAATATCTAATAGGTCTAAACCCCCCCTAAATTCGATATAATCACATAATCTCTGAAAATACTACAATACGTTAAATCACTTAATCGTTAAATATGGTTTATACGGAGAACTATCCAGTTT